AACAGCGTATTAAGCATACTTAATACTGTCTTGGTTATATTAATAGTATTATCTAAGTAAGTAATTAGTCTATATACCTGCGCGCCGCCGTCCCCCCCCCTCACGGTATTTAATTAGCTGTGGCTCACGCCGGCAGAGAGTGCATGCCGGCTATAGATCTCATCGCTCTAGGAGACGTACAGCGTTTCAATTATATCATATAGCAGCGAGTTTTACCGATGCGTGTCTATTAAAGTAATATATGGGAGAGCATTATAATATTAATTTGGCGCGGCGGGGCGCATATATACGGAGAGTATATTAAGTGTTTGGCAAGACACGCTACCGCGTTCAGTTGGCATACGAACAGTCAGGCATGCAAACATTGCGTTTCTTTCAGAATCGGATACAGTATACCAATGTTTACGGGGTTCGTGATTATGTTCTTGTCTACAGTAAGTAAGTACAATGCCTGATTGCAATCGTATAATTAAGCTCTCGCTATTGTTTCTTGAACTTAAATTTGTTAGTATTGATTACTTAGTATGGGCGTGTGTTGCTAGAATAAACCAACCTCACATATAAACCGAAAAGTAGTTGCAGAGGCAATGAAAACAAAAGAGCACCAGTTTACGATAGAAGTTTTATATTTGACATGTATACATGAAATAAATAATATCTAGAATAAAGTCATTAACGTCACCACTGACTTGTCATGAATATCAATAGTAATAGCATATATAACCGTGTGGTGTCATTCCAGTTTTTGCATTTGGCCAATCATATGGAGTTCTCTTTGTCGCCCGTTCGCTCCAAGGAGTGGGCTCAGCGTGCTCAAGCGTCTCTGGTAAATATGGGACATAGGGTGCGCGTGCGCGCCCGTGGGTGTGTGTTTTTGCGTGCGTGGGAGCGCGCGAGTGCGTGCGTGCATGTGTGTAGGGGGTGCGTACGTGCGTACTTACGTGCGCGTACTTGCATGCGTGCGTGTGTGCGTGCTTACGCGTGTACGTGTTCGTGTGCGTTTCCGGATTCGTATTTGAGTATTTCTACGCGTCATTCCGCGTTTTTGCGGCCAGCCCGGATCACGACGCATTTCTTGTTCAATGCTAGACGCATTTACGGCATGTATCGCACGTCGCGCGGACAGGCGTAATCGGGACGTTTCTTTCTAGTTTCTACGTTACAGCATCATTCCCCGCCTCCGATGTCTATCGCTCCGACCTTCAGCCGTCCATCCTCTTATCAACAACATTATCTTCGCCTCCGTCCATCCTAGTCGCTTTTTCATCGGAAATAGCGCGCGCACTAACATTCGTGACGAATTCAAAGTGACGGCAATCCCGCGTCGTCTGCCTCTCCGTAAATCCCGTCAGAGGCGCTACGTAAGCCCTGCCGTCAATCCCCGTCCATACGAGCTGACGTACATCGCGCATCGAAGCGAAAGCTTAGGCCAGCGGGGGAGCCATAATCGCAGTATAGTCCGCTGGAACCGCAGACGCTATAGAGAGAGAGAGAAAGATCGAGCGTCGATGAAGCAAGCAGACGCTCTGCGTGTACGTGTGCGCGCCCGCATTACGCACTCGACAGGCCGCGCTGCCGTAACCGCGAGTTAATTAGTTTTTCTTGCCGCACCGCGCGCCTTTATGTAAAGGCCTCTCGCGCCGACTCGCTGAACTAGGCTAAAGATCGGCATGCAAGGATTATCGGTAATCAGACCTGCCAGGGCGATGCGCGATGTGCGATGACGCCCTGCTGGAAACCAGATCTACGGCGGAGAGAGGCGCGGTAATTTCAATGTTGCGTGTGTCGACGGGCCGAGCGCTGATGTGTAGACGAGGTCTCGACCCGTCACACGCGGAGCGGCGTATTGACGTCGGACGAAACGCGAATATAAGATCAACGCGTTGCGAGAAGATAGAGAGAGAGAGGGGGAGAGGGAGGGAGAGGAAGAGAGAGATAGAGAAAGGGAGAGAGACAGAGAGAGAGAGAGAGAGAGAGAGAGAGAGAGAGAGAGACAAAGAGAGAAAGAGAGAGAGGGGGGATAGAGAAGGAGAGAGACGCGCCGCACACACACACAGACACACTACAACACACACACACACACACACACACGAGCACACCACACACATGCACGAAATGCACATTGACTGCGAGGTGCTGGGGGATTATTTTCGTTTTATAGGTGATATCAAGAATATACGAAAGTAATCTGGTTTGTCCCGAAGCGTTTTCTACACAATATCCCTGTCATGTGGGGCGACAGAGACACGAATTAAGTTATCCGAGATAGAAATGCATAGCTAAATAGGTGGGGCAGGGGGCGCAGCGGTGGAGTAAAGGACACCATTAAATTGCCCTATAAGTTCACTCTACGTCCTTACGCTATCGAACTGCTCATTACAACTACGCTCGTACACTCTCCGATCCCAGATATGATATGGACTAGTGGCAGACAACTTCCGTCGGTTGATCTATACCGCGACTACGTGAACACGCCAGCTTCCGCGTGCATGTCTGGGGCCAGCAGTATCTTCGGCTCGTTTCTTTCTTACCTACAGTGTTCATTCGCTGTCTACTGTAGCGATCTTGTACGTACAGGTCGTTATTGAGCGGCTACTGTACAGCGGAATATTAAGGACATTAGCGGCTGTGGATTTATTTACCTGAAAAGTGACGGGATGGGCTCGCTCTGAGTCACAACCCATATCTATAGTATATATTAACTACCTACTAATAACTATAGTAACTACTACGTATATTATTACACATTTATTTGATATATAGTGCTAATGCATGTAATCTCGCGATTAGGTGATTTAGCCAGATGCCCCAAGTTCGAATCCCAAAAAAGGGAGGATCTAAACAGCGGTAAACCTGATCTGCGAAAGGTGATTTTTCTGAGCGCAGAGACGGGCACCGGTACCGGTTAGAGCAACGGTTACGCATGAACACAACACGGATATTGTAAGCACATTATATTAAACGAAACTAACTCCCTATCAACGGCTTTTATCGGAACTCCTTCTTAACGCCTTTCACGAAATAAAACGAATTAAAATCGACACTAGTCGGTTTTTTATATATAATATGGAAAGGCGAAAGAAAGTTTGTATCACTCATTAATCACACTATTCGCTGATAACTATCCACCCATAGCCGCTTTTTCACATCATATAATTTCGCTGGTCTCGCGGTTCTCGGGTCTCGCGGTTTTAATTGTAGCCTGGGAGTATGTCTATCCATAAACTCTTCGATCAGGTCGTTTGATATCGCGTACTACTATTGCACACCGCAGCTATAATATTATATCCTATATTATATTCAGTAAATTTCCGTCTAAATTCCCCAGCTTTCTCCTGCTTGACCTTACTTGGCTGCTGATTGGCTGCTAGCCGGGTACACGCGCCCCGTCATCACCAGTAATCTCAGCTTCATTACTAGCGGCGACGTCGTTTCAATCGCTAGCTCCTCTCCCACCTTCCCCTACGGCGCGGGCCTCGTGTCATCTCGCTCCAGTATCCCGCGGGTTCGTTAATGCCTAACTACCTAGCGCCTCGCGCCCAGCACTGCTTGTACTCCAGCAGCCTCTAACCGTAGGTGTCTGATGGGCTCGTCAATCCGTTGAGGTAGCCGATACGGGAGGGAAACGCACTAAAATCTTCCTGGCACAATCAGGCTGCAACGTAAGATACTCGGTCGGGACTTAAAGAATGATTATGTCAGCTATAGGACAGCAGCTATTAGTCAGTACAACAGTCCAGGGCGAGTCAAAGGGGGTACTCGTTCCTGTTAGCCAAGTGCGAGCGCGCCCGCCGTCCTACCTGAGCGCGGCCAGGATCGCAACGGGTGAGCGTGCGTTCATATCACAACAGCCAAACGAAAAACGCTACGGTGAACCGCCCGAGCTGTCTTTGAATCCAGGACCTCATGCCCATCGATTTCTACATAGAAATTCAGTAACATAAGACCGCACACTCCCGAGTTATTCCAAGAAGCAGTGGAAGTTTCAGCTCGTGGTGACGCGACATTCCGCCGCACGGCGACTCCGCGCACGGAACACTCAACGCCTGGTGCTTCACCATCGTCTTGATGCCCAACCGCTCGCCGCGTATGCGTGCTACCGCGTGACACAGAGACGATATTCTCTGGTGAATTTTATTTTAAGCACTAAAACTAGGAACATACAATATTGAGTGTCTATCACAACTATTATCTTACGGTTTTAAACCGTCTATCACACTAATAAGTTATTCTTGGGTTTCCGTATAGTGCCAGCGGTTGGCAAGCGCAGCCTAGCAGAATTTCGACCTGCAGTCCGAAAATTGAAATCATTGAACGGGAAGTCGAGGTTTCGCTACCCGCGGTACAAGCGCACCACGTACGAACATCGGTTTGCACTTGACATACCCTATGAGCAACGTTCAAAAACAAGTCCATTACAGCTACAGTTACTCCGTGTCCGATTTAGTTTAGGTAGTATAACTCCGCGGCTCGTTCGCCTTCTTCCCCCGGTATACCCTCGCGAGCATTCACGGGGTCTTAGCATGCCTCCGGAAACTGATCGGGTCCAGTACGTGCCGCGTGCTACAATCGTCTTAATTAAGATATAAACAAAACCCTTGTTACGTTAAATACTTAAACCTACTTAAATATACTCAAAACCATTGGGCTAATCTAGTGGTTGAGCAGCATCCTTCCCCTTAAACGAGGTTTCTTAGTCAGCATTGCCCAAGTTAATTACACAGCAATATTCATGGGGCTCTCCTTTCCCTCTTGATTCATACTATAGGTGCTACGGGAAGCAGCTGGCGTGTTTAACTTAGGTTCTAAAACACTACATCACTTCAGTGTGTGGACATTAAAGCTTACAACCAGTATAGAGCCGCATCGTAAAGGTACAACCGTAGGTTTACATTTGTACTACATCAAGTTACCTTTCGTCACAGCGGACGGACGGTCCTCTGTTTCACCTGCACAATATTAACCCTAGACGCTACATAATACCGATATAATCAGCACCGGTCTCATTACCTTGAGCTCTTTCTGACCTGCCTAATAGCTTCTACTTATAGAAAACGCTATTCCGCGGCTTTCGGCCGTCTCTGCGGCCGTATCAGCGTAGGGGTAATTTGCGGACCGCTCTTAGTGACTGGGTAAGCTGCCGGGCCGTCGACTCTACACGATCAGCTGCTTGAAGCGACGTCTCTGTGCACATTTACCAGAACCTGAACACCGGCGACGACCGATTCGGAACTGCGAACCATGACCTTCGGCCTCTCAGGTGAGCAGACGGGCCAAGCAAGATATACGCACTACTCTTCAAGCAGTTACCAGGAGAGTCGCGCAAGCTTGATTAACTAGTGATTAGTCTTTCGTTGCAATACCTGTCCCTCGACAGAACATGTTGCCCTAAACGAACAGGCGTAACGTCTCAGCATCTGTTGTCGCGGACTAATCTAGCGCGCGCCTCGCTAACAGTCGCTAATAGACGGCACCTTACGGTACACGCCGACTACGTCCTATTTGTCGCTCGGATGATACGCGACCAGCGCTTCACTTCATCTCGCTCCTCATTCGAAAAGATTGCGCTGCGCGCGGCAGTGCTTCGGGCCGTGTCCTAGCAGTACAGCGGGTCTGTATGGTGAGTGAGTGATGAGTGAGGTGAAGTGGAGTGAGTGTGGTGTGTGTGTAAGTGCCCTCCTCCGCCGGCGGGGCTGTGTGCTGTGGTGTGTGTGCGCCGCCGGTGTGCCGGGCTGTGCGTGTTGCGTGTGCTGCGGGCGTATTCGTGGTGGTGTCCAGCGGCCTACGCGCCCAGTGTTCACCCTGTGTGACTGTGCTTGTGCTTGT